ATATATATAAATATATATATATATTTATTATACACTGAGCACTTGCCTTTATAGTTATGCAGAGTAACCAAACACAACACTTCTAAACAGAAGGCTAAGGTTTAGTATTTGTAAGATGGTGCTTACTACCTTTAAGAATAGTGGACAACACAACTATTGCCTACTGTAAATGTTGGGAAGTGCTGTAGATATATATAAATATATATATATATTTATTATACACTGAGCACTTGCCTTTATAGTTATGCAGAGTAACCAAACACAACACTTCTAAACAGAAGGCTAAGGTTTAGTATTTGTAAGATGGTGCTTACTACCTTTAAGAATAGTGGACAACACAACTATTGCCTACTGTAAATGTTGGGAAGTGCTGTCATCTTCTAGGCTATCTTTAGAGAGATAAATGAAAAGGGTGAGTGCCCCTGTGCTTATAAGGGCATATGACATGGATTGTATCCATACAGCTAAGCTCTATTCCCTGAAAAAAGCAAGGTAATAGATGGTACTGGAGGTAGTCCCTGGGCTGCTCTTTTCACAAGCCATACCCAGGTATCATCTCAGTGTCATCTGGCCTGGGCTGCCTCTGTGATGGGGGTTTGCGCTAACCATTAACAGTGTGGACAGCCATATGCCAGCACTTGGCTTGTGCCATGACCCTGTTGAGATTGTGCCATAACTGTTTGGTTTACTAGTAGATGCACATCCTCGACAGTGATGATTAGTGTATCACCTACCAGAAATGTAAAAAACGAGGAGTAGCCAGTTGAAAATTATGAGTTAAAAGACGAAAGTGGGGTTTAAAAATGTACCTTCATATGTTTGAAGTGTAGCGTCTGAATCTACAAAGTCTTTGCAGTCACAAGTACTGTTAGTGGTACTTCACAACAGTGATGGCTGAGGGTCTCCCATAGTCATATGACTGTGAGCTCAGGCTTTAGGAAAAACACCAACTGCTGGGAGATTAGCAGTCAAATCACAAGACTTGGCATGACTCTAACTATTAACATTTGTTAATTGGCTGCACCATTGCTGTTCTGTGCAGCCCCATGGGAGCAGACATGCTGGCAGGGCCCTGGTGGCTGTAGGTGACTGCTTCCTTCACCCTCAGGTGGCCTCCATCGTTAGCATGCTTAAAAACCCACATCTTTAACAGGCATAGCAACTCACACCGGGAGGCCACCACACCGCTAAGCGTGATACCGTCCAGGCAGTGACCATCAGCCCTCCCCAGTCAGTATCTGGGAAGACAAATACTGTGATTTGTAGGCAGCGCGACACCCCTCAGCTCTCCTGCAGTGAGTAAAGCATCACTGAAGGAGCTAACCAGATGCCTGATGGTGAGAGGGTTTTATTTAAGTGCCTGTGTGTCTGAAGGAGGGAAGTGCTGCCACCTAACAATTTCGTGGGGCTGAGTGTCCCCTTCCTGGGAATTCAGGCAATATTTTAGCACACGTGAATCTCTAGTGTTACCTTTTCTACTCTTTCTAAGGCTCTGTTGATCCCAAAGACACTTAAAGGACCTAGGAAAGAAACTAAGCAAGTTGATATACCCAAGACATTTTGCTTTCACCAAGTGAATCGTGCCATGAGTTCTTCGTTCATCCTCTTACCTTTTTGTAGATAGCAAATATTGTTCCTATCGGTGCCAAGCAGTCTATATTGGATGAGCCATCAAGGGGGTCAAAGCACACCACATATTTACCCTAAAACAGAAGTGGCAAGGGAAGCATTAAATGATATGTAGTCTTGCGCTATTATTTCCTTTTACTTGACAAAACCCATGTTTTTATGACTGTGTTTAGCCCTCCAAGCACACCTGGCATGGCTTGTCAGAGAAAGCTGCGCTGTTGACCCAGCTGGCCATGCAGCACAACACCCGCTCCCTGCAGGGCCTGCCAGAGAAATAGGAGAGGGCACGTTTCTGCTCAGACAGCACAAAATCTCATGATAGAAAGGAGCAGTCCTCTGCTGCCAAGCAATGAAAGAAATCGCTTGAAAGCAAAAGGAGTGACTCATTCTGGAAGCGAGCATCTTCCTCAAGTAAGTATGTTTTGTTTTGTTATGTTTTGTTCCGAACAAAAGCATTTGCCTGTGATGTGGGGTTTGAGGGTAAGAAGGCAGAAAGAAAACATCTTGGGGAAAGGGTAGGTTACATCAGCGCAAGCAGTATCTCGCTGCAATAGGATCCCCTCCTGGGGGAAGCCTGATGAAGCAGTCAGGTGTTTCCTCTGGACATGTAATGTAAAACCCAGTTCTGCCAGCCTTTCATCTAATTTTATCTTGCCTAAATATTAATGTAATCCAAAACTGTTACACCGACAGTCAAGGAATGAAATAGTACACTTACGCCTGGGATATGGGGTGTGTCAGCAAACTCCAAAATAATTATCCTCCCCCCTTCACAAAACTTTAATAATGATTTTACCCTCCACAGCTCCTTTAGCTGTTGAAACCATGGCATCCACCACAGTTATTAATCAAAACAATGCAGTAATGGTGCAAATTTCCTGAATTCCCCCGGGAAGGGTTGGTTTTGGGGCCAGGCCCAGGTTTCATACTTGAAACAAGAGTGCCACCTGCTGCTGCCTGAGCCGATAACCCCCTGAAGGCAGGAGCTGCACAGACCCGCTTGTCTTCCGGGGTGATGATGGCCTCCTTGTTCTCCTCCGTGACCAGGACGCAGGTGCTGTAGGAGGACTGGAGCATATTAATCACCAGGGAGTTGGATAATACATCCAGTTTCTTCACTTCGTCACCAGTCACATTCACAGTGCCAGCTATACCAAACCTACAGAAAAGTAAAAATATCAAGAAACCTGAGGGAGGCCAACGTTACAGGTTTTTGGGAAAAAAACAAGTCAGGGTGGCTCCTTCCTCTCATCTTCCCATACCTCTAACCTTTGGATTAAACTGCTAAGGTGCGTTAGGAGATAATAACACATTTATTTAGAGAATAAAAGCGCGCATGAGAAAGAGAAAGGGTGATGGCACCATTTTTGGGCTTTACCTGGGTCCTTTGGTCTTGCTTGGATGTTCTCCGGGCCAGGAGCAGAGCCCACAGCCCGGCCAGTGGGTGCCAGGCTTCCCTAGCAGCCCCACAAAGCAGCTGGCAGCAGCTTTGAGGAAGGAGAAGGAGCAGCTGGCATCTGCATTATTTTCTGCCGCTGGCTGCTCAGAGCTCTGTGATGGTCCTTTAACGCCTGTCCACTCAGTCCCCAGCCACCCCCAAAATCAGAAGCTTTAAAGACACCCCCAGATAATTCCCCAAGCTGAATTTGATCTCAGGATCAAAGTCTCTTTTGTTTGGTGAGCCTCAGCTGAATTAGGATGATGCTTTCATTTCCTATCCTGATTTTAGCAATATACTAACGGTGTAGTATACATATTTCTGAAATTTCCAGTTGAGGAAGCACTGTTTAGACCTAATGGGTGTGGTCTGAGCATCTTAGAAGTATAAGGAATCATACAGGGAATAGATACAGCATTTTTATTCATTATAGAATAAAAAAAAGGAAGGGGAAAGGCATAACTAATTAGTCCCTAGGATGTCAGTCAGCAGCAGGCCTTAGTTGGGGGCGGGGTAGGTCTTTTGTCTTACTCAAAGCTGCCTGAGCTTTTCAGAAGTATTGAGCATTTTGGACCCTCTATTTTGGAGTGCCAAGTTTGAGATATTGGAAAAGACCGTGATTTTCAGGGAGTGCTAAGCACCCATTCGCATAGGTTGCATGTTGAAAGATAAAAATTAGATAAAAGCAACTGTTCCCCTAAGTCAGGGAGGCAAAACAGCTCAGCTTCACCTAGTAAGTACAGAGACAAAGTACAGTTTAACAGTTAGGGCATAGGAGCCTGAGGCTACTGTTAACTTTGAGTATGTCTCATGTCCTCTCTATATATTCTGGTCCATGCCTGTAAAGTGAGGGTGATAGTACTGACACATTGAATTCATAATTTGCAAAGATCATTGAGGACTTTGACCAAATAGTCAACAGAAGCACAAAAAAACTCAGTGTCATACATTTTGGTGTGTTTCCACAGGGGCGGGGGGGGGGGGGACGTGGAACAAAGAACAAATTATAAATGTTGTCTTTCTTACACAAATATATTCCTTGCCTTTTTTATGCATGGATGTTCCAGCTCTCTGAACTGCTTCAGATAGATCACCATTAAAAAAATTACACTGATGTCTATTTCACCTGGCTGTGTGAGGAACAGCTCAGTTCATTCCAGGCTTTGTTAAGAAAAATCTTTATTCCATTTGCTAAACCACTAGATGCCAAATTGTTATGTATGTTTTTCATCTAGGGCCTTTTAAGGCTCCCCACCTGCAATCCTGATACTACTTGAGGAAGGAAGGGGAAGTGCACTCACCACTCACGCATGGCAGCATGCGGCGTTTCTCGCAGGGCTGTTGCTTTAGACCATTAGTTATACTGCAGTCAGGCAGAACATCAGCCTCCGAAGACAAGCCAATCCCTAATTTGCACAGCTCAGCACTGGGCTTGGATGTTAGCAGAAAATATCACAGTGTGATATTCTGCATTAAAAATATCATGGTATGATATTCTGCAAATTCACAGTAGATTTAAAAAATAGATCAATACCAACATTTGCAAGGGATAACGAGGTGAGCAATGCATTGAAGTTCTGACTTACTTTTTTAGAGTAAAATATTACAGAACAGCAGTTAGTTTAAATGTCTATCTTGCGCCCAATATTAAAATGCTCCAGAGAGAGAGATCTCCCACTTCCCACTCTTGATAATACAGGCTCTGACCTCATGCCTACAGTCACTTGGCTTAAAAAAGACACTTCCAATGTATTTATGAATCCCTGCCCACTCCCCAGCCTTGCTGCGCAAGCAGCTGTCTCCCTACCTCCTCTTCCTCCCGGTATCGCTAGGTAGGACTCACATGTGGGCAAGGCCCGCCTTTCTGACTGCAGAGGAAATGGCCTTTATGGCAGTCAGCATGGAGTTGAGCAGCTGTGTCAGCTCCCCTGTCGCTCCTTTAATGCGGCGTCCCTTCTCCATAACGAATCGCGTGAGAGTCAGCACATCTGTTTCGAAGGGAGTTTTGTCAGACATTTTTGCTGGGCACCAGAGTTCTTCTCTTCTCAGCTGGATGAGACGCTTTCTTGCCACGTTGAGATCCTGGGCAGCTGTTTTATTTTGAGACAAAGCTGTTGGCTGTGTTGCTGGTCAGAGTTTATTAAGATGTTTCTGAGACCATGTGATTGAGTGCTCAGAATAACTGCACCCCAGGCTGGCCCCACGGCTCCTCCGGGATGCAGGAAAGGAGCCGGAGACAGGACTACAGCTGAGCAACCACTGCTCGGCTTCCCTCCCCACACACTGAAATTAGTGACGTGCAGACCTAGTAACATATTCTAATTGTGCGTTAGACTGCTTATAATGCAGTACTGTCGCTGGCCACTTAGCTGGAAACTCCCCTCCTGTAGCTGCCGCTCAGCATGGAGCTCAGCATAGACAAGGCAAAGCACACGATTTGCAAGGTACAAGAAAGGAAGGCATAGAGCATCAGTAACCACGCATGCCATAGTGCCCCGCGGCAGAGCACCCACCACCCTGTGACTCCGGACGGTGAGGTTCCCTTCCCGTATCACCTTAATCCCTGCTTGCTCACCCCCTTTTGGCCTCCTCCATAGAGGAGGGTTTTGAACGTGTATGGCACATCCTAGGGGAATCATCAGGAGGTGCAGGGTGCATCTAGACATGCATTTAATAAAGATGTTTTATGTTGCTAGCTGGTCTGCTGCAATCCCATTTTAATGACTTCATTCCTAGTCTGGGCTACTTGTAATATTGTAGGCCTTGCATGAATGAGAGGAACTGGTGAGCTGTGGCTTGATTGGTTACAAAGCAATTATCTCTTCAATAATTTACTAATTAAGCTTATCTGATTTAAGCATGTGTGTGTCATAACTCACAAACTGAAATTTTATGTTGGCTTTGTTATTGTAGTGCACCGTGTAAATATCGGTATGTCCAAGTTTGCAATTATACTGCCAGTAACTCCTTACAAGCAATATACTTGGATCACAAGATGCTAATGTGAAGGTAGACAGAAATGTCAGCGAAGCAGGTACATGCTATCTGGAACATTGAATTACAGATTTTGATTACAGCACTATCTTCCCACTCAGATAAGGCAGTAAGAACGATTATATGTTGTAGCCTCATTTTACTTACTAGTAGTGCTCCCTTATTTTTAAGCAGAAGATCTGGAAAGCCCACAAGCAAAACAAGAAAATCTGGAGTTAAAGAAGAAAAGTTTCATTGAGTTTCCTTGTTATCATTCATTTAACCCAAATTATCGCACTAAAATCATGCCAGGAAGACAGAAACAAAATTCAGTAACAAAACATATACCTAGCTTTGCTTTTGTTAGTAGGAACTGCAGTTGTAGGCAAAGAGTTTTGATTTCCCTTTGCATTCATTTTTTAATCTTTAGCATTTATTTGGATTTTCCTAAAAGTGTCTCTTCACCTATGAACAATACATTACTTGGAGAGTTGTAAAGGGATTTGAATGCTAAGGTTTTCTACTTTGAAACTAGCCTCAAGCAAAGGTCTCGGAGACTGGCAGAACTAAACACTAGCAACAAGTAGAAAGACACAGTTCAGTGCTGCTTGCATCCTGTGTGCTTAGCTTTGGGGATGTTTTTCAAGTCTCATTCTAAGGAGGAGGAAGGACTGGCGAGCAGAGCTCCTCAGGTGGAGCAACAGGCAGATTTTGCACTACGTCCTCTAAGACAATGGTGGAAGAAAAAAGTGATCTTGAAGATTTCTTTTTCTCTTTTCTACCACTGTGATCTAGTTAAAAGTATACGATACCATTCACATCACGGGATGAATATTCCAGAGCACTTTTTGCCAGGTTAGGAGACCTTCTTTCTTCGAACAGACTTTGTACAAAACCAAAATATAACATATTTAGGGAGCTCTGGGATAGCACATGGTGCTATTAATAAAAGAAGGGAACAGGTTTCACATTATACATGCAGACGGATCTGCTGGCTTAAAGTACAGCCATTACATTCTGCACATTATTTCATCATCATGGGAGTTGTCAGCCTGACCAGTACTAAAATGCTTTTAATGCAAAATCTCTCTGCTGTGCAGCTAGAATACCATCGGGATACCAAATCAATTTAGCAAATAAAAAATGGGGTGAGAGTTGGCCTATGGCTTCTAACATTTGTCAAAACATCATGTGCAGATCTTCTTTACTGTTGAGTCCAAGTGATCTTTTACACTGTTCAGAAAGACAAAGTTCAGATCATCTTCTAACAGAAAGTTTGATTTGGAGTTAGTGGTTCAAAGGGTGTTCTCAGAGCTAAGAAGTCCATTATTTGCCTCTTTCTTTTTTTTTTTTTTTAACTGAAATATCCCCAAATGCTTTTTACGGGTACTGGATACGTTTTAGTATGTATAAAGCATAACGCTTTGAGCTGCTGCTCAAATAACACTCCTTCAGTAAGAACTTAACTTACACTAATACGTAAAGAACACAGACTCTACACCCAAGCTTTCCAGAAATATTGCAGCCAACAGTGGAGCAAGAAGAGAAATAAAATAATAAAACTTGGATAAAGGCACAAGACTGGGTTGCATGAAAACTTTACCCTGTTTCGATAAATACTGTGATCCCACTGAGTGATAAAACCCTGAATGATTAAACTGAATGATTAAGCTATATATAAAATTACCATTTAATGGCGGGGGGGGAGAAATCACATTGTCTCAAAAATGTGTGATGATTCTTTGTAAGCCTGAGAACCGCTCAGTAAGACGGGTTGGAACAGCGTAGAAAGGTTAAAACATAAACACCTCAATTTGACAGATCTTTGGGAGATTTGCCCTCTAATATAAAGATTACACAAGAGCTCTCAGGGCTGATTCACACTTCCACTGGCATATAGGCTAGCCCTGTGCCTTAAAGGTGACACCTCTTCTAACTGATTTGAAATGTTAGCCGCTTGGATGGCGCCGGCTGAAATTGGAGCCAGCGACCTTCCACCAAATGCCACAGTTCAGCCTCTGAGCGGGGCAGTGGGTAGTACTGCAGCGGGGGGTGAAGGTGGGTGGGTGCTGTGACAAACCGACCCTCCCGCCCTACGTCGACGCACAGGGCAAGCTCTGAAAGGGGCTGCGGAAGGAGGTTACTCAATAGTTCTCCCCGCTGGTGGCTGCATGGGGATGCCATTCAAATGTCGACTTATGTATTACAGATAGAAAGAAAAACCCAGCTCACAATGTGAAAAATGCTAACTATAAAATGTCAGCCTACAGGCAAAACCAAAACGCTGGAGACTGACCTAGCAAACACGGGCAGTATTGCCTTTCCTTCTATAACCTTTACCTGCTGCCAGTATGGTGTCTTAAAAATAGATATATGCAGCCCAGGGATTCCTGAAAAGGTTGAGGGCAGAATACAGCTGAGGAGTTACTGCAACTAGACAAAAAAGTCTGCTGTGGATACTGTCTGTCAAGTTGTGCCACAGACTAGTGAGGCACTGTAGTCCAAACTGATATATGGAAAGCCAGAAAAAAGCTGTAAGGGCTTCCGACTGTCCTCCGCTTAGTGTATTAAATAGAAAAATGCATCCCGCTACAGCTCTGGGGATGGGTCGAATTAAAAATTTAAGGAGCTAAAAAAGTTGTGCATGACAACAACAGTCATGCGCTTTCTTCTAGAAGCAGCATCCAGAACTTCAGAGAGGTTTAGAGTCTCAGCATGCTGCCTGTTGTAGCTGACTTAGTGAGCTTGGAGCCTTTTAAAGTGCTATGGGGTATGTGCCAGAGCCAGCAAGTAACGAAATGCTCAGGACAGGAATATGCAATTCCTTTGGAAAGTATTTCAGTGTGCGAGGTAGGCATCTCCAGCCGCTCCTAGCACCTTCACTCCTCGTCAAAAAGTGAGAGACTTGCTGTTTCTTTTGAAATCACAATGAAAAGAAAAAAGAGATGCAAGGATTGCATTTTTTTTTTCTTTAACAAAAGCGAGAGCATGGCCATATCCCAGTGGTCAGCTGCTCACATGAAGAGGCAGAGGAAGCAGCATTGGTCCTAGCACAGGAAAGAGCAGCCTGTGAAGAAAAGCCCGGGCCACAGGAGTCCCCCAGCACACAGCTGTTCCACTCGCTGTCTGGTCTCATGAAGTCCTCTCCCATGTCATGGCACAGCACTCACAGGTCAGGGTAGTAAACCCTCTCCTTCCAGGCTGGTCCCCAGACTGGCAATAAGGGCACCCTGCTGGGAGACGTGGGTTTGAGCCTTCTCCCAGAGGGGAATTAATCAGAAATTAGACAATATACCTCATGGTCGCTGTTTGTGGGGTGCCTGATTTTGCAGGTGCATATCAGGCAAAGTATGTAAGCCACGGTCTGCTCATTTCCCAGAGCAGAGTTTGCCCTACAGAGGAGCCCGATCCTGTGCGGGGCCAGACTTAGGCCCTCACAGCACGAAAAGCAAGCGCACAAGCAGAACGAGAGCTCAGTGGAGATTTCCAGGACTGTTCAAATCCTTTAAGAGCTCAGGTCCCTGAAAGCCCTGTCTTCACTAACAAAGCCTCATCAGAAATAGCATTTTCAGCAGAAACTAGGCCATTCAGTCCCTGCCAGAAATGCCTTGTCCCCTATCACTTTGGAGAACAGATGCATATATATGCCCATCTAAGGTTTGCCAGCATGCCTCCAAATGCCCCAAACACAACCTGTGTCAGAACAAGGGCCCCCAGGTTTTTTTGTGTGTGAGCCCTCATAGAGCACGCCTTCGCACCATGGCCTCTAGGTTCCCCCACACTCTTTTATTCTTGTTTTACAAGAAGAACCAAGTTCAGACAGGCTATCTGCACTGATGTATCCAAAATCCTCAGACAGGCAACGGTATAGCTCACTGCACCCATAGACAGAGGCTCCCAGACCATGGCTTGAGTGAATGTTCAGTGGCACTCTACCCAACAGTAACATCCACATGTCCCTTAGTTTGAGTTTGGTGAAGGTAAATGTCAAAGATTTGCAGATTTGGACTGATTCAAAAAGCTTGTGAGCCACGGCCATAAACTGTACGCAGACAGGTGGAGAGTCCATCTAGCTCCCAAGCACTAATGTCGTGTTCCCAGCAGCATGCTCTGAATCAGCATATTAAATGTCAGTGTGCTTTGTGGGGATCTTCGCAACTTAATTCTGCTTGCACAGCAGAACCCTTTTCCATGGTAATGCACACTCCCAAAATATCCAAAGAACACCTGGTGGGGGTTGCTAGCAACACATAGGTTCATTTTTTCACCAAGCAAGCAGGTTAATTTCTGGCAAATATAGCCAGCTCATCACAGCAGAATGGTGCCCAGCTGTCAACACATGCTCTTTATCCAATTCAAAAGCCACCTCCAAAATGTCATTTTCTGTCCTTGTGAACTGGATCTGATAGCGTGCCAACTGGCAATATTAACAGTATGTGCCAGAATTAACCCACACTAATGTACATGTTTCACAAATGTTAATTCTCAGTCAAAATAAGCCCAGACTGAAGTAAAATGAATAACTTCTGGAGCCTAGAAACAACGTGTGGAGGTGTCCACATTAGCATTTATACTTATTGCCAAAGAACTCAAGACTGGTCTAGGAAAGGTCACTCACTGTAAGAGGCTGCTGAGTCTTCCCCCCAAGATCTTTAGAAGAGGACAGAGTCAGATATTCTGGTGATAGTCTGTAGCTTGTCTGAGAAAGTTGAATCTTCCCCTAGTTATTGAATGCAACACAGTAGCTCATTGTAGCACAGTGGCTTTTGTGTAATCACAAACGGTAAATGAAAAAGCAAACATATTTTTCCCTTGCTTTTACTTTTAATGCTTCCTTTAATGCAACCTTTTAATGCCTTTCGTTGCACAATGCAATTGCACAAGATTTAACTTTAAAAAAATCTTATGAAAATATGGCTCGTTTGCTCTCTTGCTACAGAGGTCAGACAGTTCAGTCTTGCAGTACTGCAGTGTGTTCTTTGGTTCAGCTGTAAGAGATTTCTTCCCATCTGCACAGTGACTGCAGCAAACTTTCTTTACTTAGCTGAATGCTTCTTGACTATCTCAAGGTACTCCTTCACATCGTCAGGAGATCCCAAGACAACAGGCACTCTTTGATGGATATCCTCAGGCACTATATCTAGTATTGCTTGATGCCCGGTGGTTGCTATTCCCCCAGCCTTCTCAATAACAAAAGCCATAGGATTGCATTCGTAGAGCAGTCTCAGCTAGAAGACAAAAATCAAAATGGCAATGGTCAGCCCAGGCAATGCTGAGAATTGTGAAATGTAAATATATTTGGTGTTTGATTTAAAATCAATCAACACTCCAAGTACTACCTATTTCATATGAACTTTGACTCAAGAATGAAATTGTGTGGATTTTTCTTTTAAACAAAACACAGTGAATACTGCATTTGCCCAATTTGAGTGCTTTCTCCATAGCTCATGTTTGCATTGTGCTCTTTACACAGAGATAAAGTTCATAGGTAAGACACAACCTTTAACAAGGCAGCAGACCACGTAGGCCTGTGTGAAAAGAAAGAAAAACACTGGCCCTGAGTGTGCCATTAGGTTTCTCTAATGAATAACTGCATCTTATCTGCAACCTGAAGCAATAATTTATGGACAATTACAAAACAGATGAAAGGTCTTTGCTGAATAAACAGTCCCCTTGTCAGCCTGTAAGTGTGTGACCTTCCCGGAGTGACTGTCCTCCTGGCAGAGGCAGCCAGGCATAGTTCCTCCAGATGAGGCAGCATTACCAAGTACAAGGTACAAGTGGTTTTCTCTTTGGCAGAGCTTCTCGTAAAGGGGCGCACTACGTTTAGGCTTCTTACACACTAGCTTGCAATAGGAATCTCAGGGTAATGCGGGTTGTTTTACTTTGCTTTGTAATGTTTTGCTTGGTTAGGGCCAGCATGGCTTGGGCTGAGATGGTGCAGAGAAGCCTGTTTGAACAGCACATCCCCTGGTACGTTCCATAATCTGAATATGTCTGGGATAAAGAGAAGTCAGTACAGTTGAAACAGGTTAGCAGCAGCCCTAAGATTGGTGTCTGGCAACAGGTTGCTGTCACTCATGACACTGTGCAAGGGGTGGCCATACCCACACACCAGAGATGCAAGCTACCAAGTTATAAAAAACATGTTCTGCGATCAAAGTACTGATCTTTGATAGTGAAATATCTAGATGATGTAACATTTTCTATAATTGGGCTTATTCAGGTTTACCTTTCCTTTGGGACTTTTGGAGTTAGCAGGATACAGAAAGATTCCTCCATACACCAGCGTGCGATGCACATCAGCCACCATAGATCCTATGTACCTCCCACCATATGGTGAACTGCCATCCTACAGAAAGACATTTAAATAAATGTAACTTTTGAGAACATCAATTTCCCCCCCCCCCCCCCCCCCCCACCCCCCCCCCCCC